TTGACTCAAGCGTTAAATTCACTAAGGTCACGGAAAAAATCTGATCACAATGCAGTGAAATTCAGCTACGAACTCAACTTTAGACATTCACGATTTATTCCTTATCTATTCACGATTCACAGCCAAGGACTTTTGCATTTCACGCCTCGCGGAATACACTTCAATCACGATTCACGGAACAGTTTTTTTTATAAAATCACGATTCACAGAGCACAAAAAAACCGGATCACGGCGTCACGAAAATACCCTTGCCCCCCCTCAAGAAACAGAAAGCGAGAAAGGTTTGAACGAAACTCAGTTTGTCCGCTACTTCTCCATTTTCTTTTGTTTGTTTTTAGTATCTTTGTAGACTACAGATGAAACGTCCCACATAGCCGGACAATTGTGAACCTCTTCGCAAATTTAAAAGTGACCTCGCGTACGTTTATCTTGACTTGCGTCCGCCATTTTGAGAAGTGTCACGCGAATAAATCACGTGAATTGAGCCCGTGTTTTGATTGGTTGACAGTCAACAACACATGTTTGCCAATCGTTAAAACGTCGGATACGAGTTTACCAACACGAAAAAGTTGGCGAAAAAGTTGGCCAGAATAGAGGCAAGTTCCATTTGTCGCCAACAGTTTGCCAACGTGTTTGCCGACTGTTTTTGTGCCGTTCACACACACCTACTTGAGTTCTCCAACTTTAATTTGCCGTGTGAAGGCCGCTTAAGATAATAAACTGCGCATCTCTCTCTCTGTGCTAAATATTCAAATAGATCAAAAGTTTGGAACTTGCTCTTATGCCAGTTTTGTACCGGCTGGCCTTGATGCCTGCAATTTCCATACGGGCCTGTTTTGAGAAAATAACTCACCGACTTACCTCTTCCCCAAGCCCTTTGCAATTTCTTTTGTTCTTGATGTTTAGGCGAGCAACTGTTAACAATCCCAAACTCCATGCACAGCGTTTTAAATAAATGAAACATACAAAGCAGTTCCAGAAATGCTTTTAATCTTATTTACTTAGCTTCCTGTACAAATAATTTCTATTAACTAGGGATCTTTTATCCTTGCTATTTCCTACGCGCGAATTCTGATGACAAAAATAAAGACACTCGATCCACGCTTGAATTTAGGCATGGTGTATTTCTTTAAAAAAATAATCAATAAAAAATAAATTTTCTTCAAAGAGTCAAATTCTCGATTGATCTGCCATATAAAAATTCATAATCTAATTTGAGGTTAATTAACGCATGTATCGAACCTATACAAAAAAATAAACCTTGAATCAAATATTAAAAATACAGTCGATCGGCAGCACAGTGGACGCCCGTGATACAACTTACGGGAGTGTACGTTACTGGGGTCAAGGAAGCGGGGGGTACGGGTTGAAATGTAGTGTCCGCGTAAGCGGATTATAACCGATTATAACATTCAAGGCAATATGCAGTAATTTTCCAAATTGGACAGCAGATCAAATAACAGTAACAGGTGGCTTCTATAGGATTAGTCTCCAGCTCCGGTGTACTTCAAGAGCGACTTCGCAAGACGTCTGGAATCGCGCCTACTAGTAGTATAAAATAAAATAAAAAAAAGATTTACTTCACAGTTACGTTCAAATTTAAGGATCATCTCTCACGGCAAGTCACTTTGTACCGATGCCGCTTGCTAACTTTTGTTTAATTTTTAATCTCCACAGGGATAATTCGGATCATCTAATTCTAGAAGTGGTTTGTTTAAGGTTAACCAAGTTGCAGTTCATCTCTGGTTAGCGACGTCATGTACACAACTCTCAGCTCTCTCATGCAGCCAAATAACTGTAAACGAAACCGTACTGACAGAGTACCTCCCATAACTGGCACATTGGCGGTCACCTACGAGAAATTCGACTTTATAATAAAAGTTCAATCATTAGCTACATGGTCCAGCAGAGGTTTCCCTTCTCAGACTGTAATGCGACTTAGTTGGCAAGCTGGAAATTTCCCTTTAGCTAACATAACCTCTCCTGCTATTGTTAAGCTAGCAACATAAAAAAGACATGCAATTCAGTGCCAGTGTCTTCTCCTTAGGATAACTAGTTGTCCTGTAAAACGTCACGCAACGATCTTCCAAAAAGTGAAAAAGACCAGCGTGACGCTTGTCACGTTCGCAGCTGGTTCTGCCTAGACTGCGCAGGAGATTAGCATAAGCAAAGTCCACCTCAGTAGGCCTTCACTAACAAAGAGTTTTGTTTCGTCGTTTGACAAGCCTTGATATAGGCAGTCGCAGTTGACGTCATCCCTTCCCGAAATGCTATGCACACTGTGATGACGTCATTTCTCGATTCATGGTTCAGGAAGGCGATTTCTGAGCCTGCTTGAACTGACTGAAGGCCAGCTGCAAAAAAAAAGTGAGAGAAGAGGGCCTTTGAGTGACAAAGGCATAATTAATGGGCTAACGGTGCTGGTAAAACTAAGCCAAAGGAGTATCCTTAGCGAGAATCTGAGCGAAAATGCTAATATGAATGAAACTTTTGAATTGCAGGCCAGAAGCGACAGTTGTCCGTTGTTCTGTTCACTCTGTTGAGCCACGCATGCGCATAGACTTCCAGGAATCTCAGGAATCTCAACAACAATGAACTCAACAAATGACAGGAAGTGAGGATGACAAACGAGAACACGAAGCCATTCAAGTTTGGTTCCTATGAAGTAACCTGAAACTCTTCGACCAAATTGTTTCCAATTTTTCTTGCTTTACTGCAGTCATTAACCGCGACGCCTAAGGCTAGCCCAGTTCTTAGTTACAGCTTCAGTAGTTCAATGTAGCCTTACCTCAAAAGCCTGTCCTATGGTCATGGTAACTTCATTTGACAAGACCTTTTCAACAAAACAAAACACATCTTAATTTTCTCAAAAATAGAAATAACACTTGTGGCCAAACCATGGAAGTTTCACAAGGTTCGTGGAGCGCGAGGAAGAGCTCCAATCACGTGCGACAGAACAGGATCCCCTGGTCATCGCGAGTGATTCGCCCTTCACGCTCGCTGCTCGCCTCGCGCGCGTTACACTCTCACGCTCCACGTTCGTCTCGCGCTCCACAGTCTCTGGGACAGGAGTTATGGCTTATTGACTTACAGTAGATTCCACCCTGAACACGTGGCAGTAATGTTTCTCCGTTTTCGCGTCCTTGGCGATGTAAGCGAACACTTTTCTGTCTTCTGGATCTTGAGTGATGTATGATATATTCCTCATGTCGTGATAGCTCACCATAATCTGCAAAAAAGTTTTATTTATCAGTTGGGTGTTTTGTTTGAGTGTGGGACAATGTGCTAGCAATGAACCTCACACGACCACATCATCATCATCATCATCATCATCAACATCAACATCATCGTCATCATCATCATCATTATCAACATCAACATCATCACTAACAATAACTATCAAAACGCATCACCATCTCCAACTGATTCACTTTATGACAGCATACATAGAGTACTACATTATGAAAGTAGTTTTTACCTTTGACCTTGCATCGATGAACTTGATTCCTTTAACCGACACAGACAGTGTCACTGAGGGAATCTTCTGTAGCTTGGCCGTTGACAGCTAAAAAGAAAGTTCAAAGAAAAACTTCACACTATAGCCCTGGGTTGTTTGACACGTGAGGTAAAAACGACATGGACGCAATCTCTTTGCGCCATGAGCAAGGGAAAATTTTGCGAGTGCCTTGTCGCGAGTTTTCAAGCGGTAGTTTTGCTTAGACGTTTCTAAACTCAAGTTAAATTATTCATCAAGTTTAAACAAAGGAAATCATGACCGTGACGGTGTCTGGATATCTGATCTTAATTAGCATATATTTTTACGATATTATTGCTCCGTTTTCTCCTTAGTTTTATATTCGATTGAGAAGATATATCAAACACTCAAGACAGTGTTTGACCACATTTTTAAACACCTCGAAGTTCACCAAAAATACTCCCGCTGCGCGTCGTATTTTCAACTCTCTCCTCGGTTCAGTTTGGAAATTTCTCAAGTTCATTGTTTATAATCCGTGTCAATCTTCTCCACCTGCAACCATCCTTGTTCCTTTACGGTTAATGTTTATCTCTTTGGTGTTTTTCTATCTCAGAAAACTGTTATTTTCAGGTTTCCTTCGATTTAAAGATAATTTTGTACTCGGCCAAAATAATCCAAAATATCGTGACTGAGCTCCTTTAATGTTAGATGTCACATTACCCTCATTTTACGGCAGGCGTCAATGGTAGCTTCCAGCCCTGTGATTGTCTTGACAGCATGCGACCCGAGGTACTGGAAAACAAAATAATAAGCTCTTAAACTCAAAACTAATGGAGGTAAAGCGAAAAGGGAAAAAACCGTCGAAATGTGAAATAAAAGAAGTACAGGAATGTTAGCCTAAAGCGTTGCGGGCGTTGAAAAGTTCCACCCCAGAATATTTTAATTAACGCCTGCTGTAGACTGTGGGAACGTTTCAACTTTGAGCTGTCTTACGTTGCTTATTTGGTTATCTGATCCAGCGCTCCAACTAGGATCAACGAGGTCGAAGAATTTTTCCTTGCCTCGGGTGGTACCGTTTCTTCACTAGGGCTAACGCTAACATGGAAATTCATGGGCTACTTCCATCACTTCACACTACAGTGTTTAAATGTCTGATTTGATTCCATCTTACAATTGATTCATATTAGTGCTGCTGGCTCAACTTTGCATTTCAATAAAACCCAAGTTATCTACCAAATTACTTATTACAAACATCTGTCGGTTTCTTTTAACGAACGTTTTTACTCACCAGGGTGGTGTAGTTGACGCATCCTTTGATCAACACTGACGAATCGTGTTTCCACTTTTTCGATTTTCTCGGCTTTTTTTGAGGCACCTGCAAAATTAAATTGTTCTTATACTCAGCACAAAAAGCTCACTCTCTCGGACGTGGCGTGGCGTGACGTCATACCTGCTTGTTGCCAGTCATGAACTTTTCAGCAGCCGCCATCGAGTCTTCGGCGTTACTAACTGATGATACAGTCGCGGTGGCTGGCGGTTTCTCGTCTGGACAGTACATCTTGAGCTCGGCCAGCTTCTCTTCGAGATCCGTACTGCTTTCGTCAAGGTTAAGGGCCTGATATAGATAAAACAATGATTCTAGCAACTTAATCAGGACGGGAATGTCGCTGTTTATTCAACTGTTTCCTCGCTCGTTTGCTTTTTGTCTGCCCGTTTATTTGTTTGTAGGCTAGTTCATTCCTTCCTTCCTTCCTTCGTTCAGTCATTCACACAGTTAGTCACTTAGAAAGTCTAACACGCAGGAAGGCATCCAGGCAGTCAGGCAGTCAGACAGACAGTCAGACAGTCGGTCAGTCAGTCCGTCAGACAGACAGACAGACAGTCAGTCAGTCAGTCAGTCAATTAGTTTTTCTGTGCCGAAAGAGCCATGGTCCGATCAGAACTTTATTGCATTCACCCAGATAATTCTTAAAGAAAGTTGGTGAAGCTATGAAGACATGTTATCTGACCATGAAATTAGAAATGAAAGTAGAGAATGCTTACTTCTGGTTGGTCATTCCTTTGCGGTTCTTTTACATCTTCTTTTAACGAGGCGAGTATTCGTTTCCGATGGCCCAGAGAGTTTACTTCCAAAACCTAACAATTCAAAAGTAAATTTTGTAACTTCATTGTCTCAGAGCATTAATTCTATAAAATCAAGACAAAAATATTTTGACAGTTGTCATGGCAACTAACCGACGTCAGCTCCACTTCCCAGAGCATGTGAATTCTCTCCATGGACGTGAAGCCATTGTGCTGAAACACGTCAAAATACTCGGGAAGGCAAAGTAGCTCTAGCCAGTCCTCTAAACCCTCGGGTTTGGATAAGGCCGGATCGCTAAGCCGCGGACAGACTGGTAAGGACTTCAAGGCTTCCATAATTGTCCTGTTGAGGTAACGAGAGAGTTGGTTCAAGTTTGAAATGAAAGAGATCTTACGTATACGTGACTACGACTACCTCAACAGCTACGTCACAGTTTAGCCTAGATTTTTCAAGTTTTTTGTATGTAGCCAAAAAAACTCATGATAAAACTCATAATACCATGACTGAGCTCCTTTAACAGTAACATAAACCTTGCAAGGTTGCCGTACACTACAAACACTAAGAGCAAAATGTTGGCACAACAACACCCACAATAATCACTGATCTATGCTTAACTTCGAGAACATTCCTGGAACAAAGGAAGCGTCCAGTGTTGTAGAACCGTGGACTAATGAAGGACTGTTCTAAATTTCCCAGAGCTAGGCATGCCATTACTCATTCAAGTCCCTCTACAAATATATAATGCCCAGACAATGGACGGACCAAAGAAAGTAGGTGAACAAGGGAGAGAGTGGCTTACTGCAAATGGAATTTAAGGTCATTCCCCAGTATTGCATTGCGCATCCCTACTGCGCATAATTTTACGCGTGATTAGCGCGCGCGCATTAAAAAATGGCGGCTTTTTCTTTACTGCTGGACCTCGCCATAGAGGTAAATCGTCATTTTCTCACAAATGAGTATGGTGACCTATCATTTTTTTTCTGTTGTTTTGAATTGAGTAATAAATTTCTCAGTGTAAAATAAATATGGACCAATTCTCAGTGTTAAATGAAAAACAATCGTCGGAAACGTGAATTTAGCAAGCAATCGTGACTACAATCATGGTGCTATTATAAGGATTCATTGGGTATAAACAAGGTGCTGTTGCTCCTAAACGAACATGGGAACCCCTCATTTTTATTTCAAAGTTTAAGTTCCTATAATATAAACAATCAATAGGCAAAGTTTCACAAAAATCTCAGTGCGGGTTCTATTTAAGTGGAATGACCTTAAACAGAAGTACTACAAACAATATTTGACTTCTCTTTACCTTCTATGAGAAAAGTCTACAATTCCAATGTCCAAAAGATCGTCATCTTCGAGAACTCCATTCTATGAATAAAGCACAGTTTGTTAAGAAATAGGAGGCAGCGTGGTCGCGGGTTCAAGTTCCGCTCTGACCACTAAGCTGGAGTTGTTTCTCGGTAAACCCTAGTCATGTTTGTAAATAGCCAACTGGTCTGCCTCCCGCCAGTTGGGATTTTTAAACCTATTGTGTTTATTTGAAATATTTCTTTCTTTCAGTGTAAGTGGTCATGCTAGTTGTAGCTAAGCGGATCACCGAGATGGAAGCGATGACTGCCAAAAAAGAGAAACAAAAGAGCTCTACACCAAAATACTTCTTGAGCTTCTTAACAAAGAAAGAAAAAAACGTGGAAACAACCAAACGAAGGTCTACCTACCAAAAAGTTGATATCGTCAAATCCATTCGCCATCATGGACGACTCGTACTGATCAAGATCCAACGCCTTAAGCCAGCCAGGAACAGTTTCTGCTTTGCCTGTTACACAGATAAGATCAACATCTGAGTTCTCCTGACTGTTTGTCATACATTTCTATAAATCTCTTTGAGAGAATTTGGACACACACCGTCCGCGCCTCGCCCTGCAACCTCCGCCTAACAGAGGTTCTTGATCAACATTTGCATCTCCCCTTGTATATAAATTATCTTCAGAGAATTTGACTGGCGTGAATGAAGGTCATTCAGGTTCAAGACTTTCCTAATGTAGTTTGTTATCACAACAAAAAGGTGGGGATAGGGGAAGACAAAGAATGGTGTAAACGAAAAAAAATCAGTGAGATCTAAGACCTACCCGCATTAGCGATCTGTTGCTCCAAAGTCTGAGGCACTTCGATTTGACCAATAGAAGATAGAAAAGCTTCGATCTGAAGAAACACAGACAGTTGTTATCGCCTACAAGATCGCTCTCGCCAGTATTTCGTGTTTTCATGAAGCTACTGTTGCTGAAGATACAAGATAGTATACATCGGACATTTCCTAGTTGCCTTTTGCCTCTGTGTCAAAATCAGTCTTAGTGCGAAATCATTCATATAGAAATGTGTTTCCCCTACAGGTTCATTTTCATGCAAATCAAACTCGTTTTCATATGAAAGGTTTTGCGCGACGACTCGTTTTGAAACAGAGGCACAAGGTAACTCGAAAGGGCTTATTAAAATACCTTTTCCCATTCTTCTCTCTCGTCCATGGGGCTATCCGCTGACAGTGTGCTTAACCTGTAGGACCTAGGCCTTTCTGCAGATGCTTCTCTCTTGACGACGCTGCCGTTCTCGTGGGGCTGATTACCGTTGGCTTCTGCCGCGTCGTCGCCTTGTTTGAACAAAACGTTCTCGTAAATCAATGGCGATGGTTTGACGTCGATTTCAGCCTCGGCTCCGTCTGGTGCCTGACGCTCGCTGTCCGGCGCAGAGTTTGTGTCAGTGAAAATGTCCTCTCGTGAAGAGTACGGCGAAAATCTCTCGTGCAGCTCGGCAAAATCGCTTTTCTTTGGGCTTTCGGTCTTTGGCGAAAGGGCGGCGGCAGGGGGAAAACTGAACGGATCTTGATTTCTTCCAAAAGAACCTGAGCCATTTTCATCTTTCCTAGCATCGCCGCGCTTTGTTGTGTACTCCTCGTCGTGTAAGCTGTCACTGCGCGGAAGAACCTTCGGTTTGGACTTCTTACGTGGCATGGGACGGGGGGGTTGTGGTTGTTGGGATGGTTCATCCTTGACATTTTCAGGATCCTCTGGGATCGTTGACATGTCTGAGGGTTGAAGAGCCCCGAGCGCTTCAAACACTGATTCTTGAGCAGTGTTGGGTGACGGTGGCGAGAAAGGTGGTGTTAAGACCGACTCCGACGTAAATGATATCTCGCTTGAGGTGGTACTCTCTCTGTTCTTTGTCTCACTAGGTCCTACTGCCGTAGTCGACAGTGTGCAATACTCCCCCCCGGAACCTCGCGCACTCATTTGCCGGACTCTCTCCCAGTCTATGGTTCCCTTTTCGGAAGGACCTTCAAGGCGCACTTGCTCGTAGGTCCCTTGCTTAGGGGGCCTTCCCGGTGACGGCGGTTCTTGCCTCATGACGGGGTGCCAGTCTGAATATTCGTTTTGTCTGCGTGGAGGGACCTTGGGGAGGGCTGGTTCGTGCTCCTTTTCAATCCACTGCACTTCACCACTGCTTTGGGACTGAGGCGCGGCAGCTACGCCTGGCCGGAGAGGTATCTGTTATGGATATCAAAGAAAACATTTTTTTTCTGTGAAAAATGACGGGGAGGTTGCTAAAAAACAAGAAGTCAGGTAGCTATAGAACAGGGACAGATGATCAGATTGAATTACATAAAAATTCACACTTCATGCTTAAGTCAAGAAATCAGCACAAGTTTCAATTTTCTCCCGACGTTCGATCTTTTTTCAGCCGCAAAATTTTCTCATCCCCTCCACTCTTTCCTCCACAAAGGCTTTTCGGGTGGGGAGAATCCGCTGAGCGATATGAGTGCAGATCATTCGACTTTATACCTACACACACCTCGCACAGCGGTTTTCTATAACGAACGTTTCGACCTCTGCGGAGGGGAGAGAGTTCCCCCCCCCCTCCCCCAGTTTCCGTGAATTAGCGCAACAAAGGAATTTTAAGACATAACAGGTTCACAAAGACTCGTTTTAATGTGGTGAGCGTAAACAAAATGGCAAGCTCACCGGTGGCACGTCCCTTGGAGGTGGAGCAATCTCGTATACAGGCGATGACATAATAGGTGGCACTTCATACAAAGGTGCCGACACTGAGGTGTTCACTGAGCTAGATGGTTGCTGGGCCATTTGCGCTGATCCTGTCTGGGACCCTGTTCTTTGTGGACCGACCATAGAATACAGAGATGCTGACACTGGAATGCTCATCGAGCCAGATGGTTGCTGGGTCATCTGAGTAGATCCTGCCTGGGACCCTGTTCTTGGTGGATCAACCATAGAATACAGAGGTGCCGACAATGGAATGTGCATTGAACCAGATGGTTGCTGGCTCACCTGCGCTGATCCTGCCTGGGGCTCTGCTGTTTGTGGACCAACCATAGAATACAGAGGTGCCGACATCGAAATGTTCATCGGACCAGATGGCTGCTGGGTCATCTGCGGTGATACTGACTGAGACCCTGTTCTTTGCGGACCAACCATAGCGAGAGTTTCGTAATCTCCACGGTCGGCAACCTGCTCCTGGAGTTCCGCCGGTGGGGCCAGTATTTCGTACTCAGTATTGTCTGGAGGGCCCATAGGCTCGTACCCTGCCAAAGGGGCAAAAGGCTGCATTTCAGGTGCAGAATCACTAGGTAAGGAACCTGGCTTTCGTAGCCGTACAAATTCATATCCTTCAGCATCCAGGGGGCAGGGCTTCTCTCCTTGGGCCCTGGCACCTGAAGCTGACGAGGTATGAAGCCCTGCGGTGCTTCTTTTCTCCTGGGGTACTTGACTCGGCGGTGGTACCACATCATATGAAGGTTGATCCAGAGTAGCTTTTCGTGGCGGAAGTGTCACAAGGTCGTAAGCAGAATCTTGGCGGAGCGGCTGATTTGACTGCTGTGGAGTTCCAATGGTGGTATTTTCGTATAAATCAAACGACTGGCCCCTTGATGTTCTAGAGGAGACTTGGCTGGGTGTGTCATCCCCCTCCTGACCGTTTCCTTTACCTCTTAAATATGAGGAGGGGACTTCATAGATACTTGGCTGTCTACTTGAACTCAGTCTTGACCCCTGTGGTGATCCAACCAAGTCATAGCTGTCATTGTTCTGTCTCTGAGCTCGTGAAAGCTGTTGATTTGGCTCGCCAACCAAAAAATAGTCAGGGTTATCTTCACTAACCATTCCTTTAAGAAGACAAACATGATGTTTGACAATATGGTCAAAAAATAATGGAAAGCAGTAAGCATCATTAGTGTCCAACTCCACTCAGTGGGGTAGAAACAACACATAGATCTCCTTATTGTAAAAAAAAAAGGTAAAGTCTGCATACGAGCCACGTGGCCTATCAGAGCTGGAGTTTATCCCAGTTTCTGTAACATGAAGCGACCAGGAGTAATTTCTACTCCCCCTGGGTGGGATACTACTCCATTGCAGGGTAACCCCCCAGCATAAAATTTGCCGTTACCCATTTAAACACCTGTGTGGAGGGAGGCTTTGCGAGTGTTAAGTGTCTAGCCCAAGAACACAACACAACGTCTCCCACCAGGGCTCATACCTACAGTAGACCGCTCAATCTGGAGTCGAGCACATTAGCCATGGAGCCACTGTGCCTCCATCTCATTGTGCTGCATTGTTATATATGTGCTACCAAGGACTCCTGGTGAACTAGGTCAATGAGGCCCTGCTAACCAGGAGATCTGACCTGAAAGGCACACATTTATAGGTTCAAACCTTTTCAGGGACTGGATCTTGCAGTCTCCGATTATCCCATGGTCATGACATAGATGAAATTTAACATCATATCAACATACCACTGTGTTGATATTTTGACAAGAATTAAATACTGCTCCGTGATAGCCAAGATGAAATGAATCAAATCCTGTGCTGTGATTGGCTACCCAAGCTGGCAAGATGGTGCCATCTTGCTGCCATCTTGCCCACTTGGGGCTACCTGCATGAGACCACCTGCTATGTCCAGCAAGAAAAGAGTGTTCTTTTCCCATATAATAAATCCTTTATTGACCAAGCTTGTTTGGTCAAGATGGCTGGGCATAGGCCTCAAACTTTGTTGGTGTGTTTATGGACCTTGACTCCATCTTGGTCCATAAACACGCAAAAAAAGAACTTGGCCAATATCCAATCATCTTGACCTCAAACTTGGTCAATAATCCATACATAAAATTTAATATCTACCTGATATGGGTAAAGGTTCACTTTCCTCGCCAGAGGATGGAAATCCAAGACAGGAATAATCATCAAACACTGTTTGAGAAGACGCACCCATTTTAGCTGGTAAAAAGTTCTCCCCTTCGTTTCGGACTTTAGCATAAGCACTGTCAGGGCGCAGCGGGCACCGTGCATTGGCAACTGCCCCAGGCTGTGCCGGAGAGCCAAGGAGGGAGTACCCTGCTCTGACCTCCTGAGCACTTAGCATAGGAGAAGGCTCTTCAGGAGGCCCTAGGAGGGCATACCCTCTACCAGCATTAGACAAGTGGACATTGTTTGGAGATCTGGACCCCACTTCGTCATATCTAGTCCAGTCAAAAGAGTGTCTGCCTGAAGTACCTGTGAATTAATTCAAACTACAAATAAGTCTGTTGCAATGCTTTGGACATGGACAGCATAAAGATTAACGAGGTCACAGCTGATTGTCAGCATACACTGATTCAGTTATTACTAACATTGTTTACCATTTGTTTACAGAAACTGGTTTGTCAGCAGCTGTGCAAATGGTAAGCAAAAATGCCTGTTGGTTACTTTCATCCAGATTAACCATTTACCATTTACTTATCAACCTCCAATTTACCGAGAGAGCCTGGGACAAATTCAATCTGATCATAATTCCAAGATGGTGGTAAAGAATTGCAAATGGTAAGCACATTTTTCATTTGGATATTTCGTTGGAAATTTTGGACTGAACCTATCGAGGTAAAGTCTGCCAGGCATTAAATTCGCCAGTACCCATTTATGAACCTGGGTAGAGAGAGGCACCGTGAGAGTGAAGTGTCTTGCCCAAGAACACAACACAATGTCCCCGGCCAGGGCTCAAACCCAGACCGCTCGCTCCTGAGTCCAGCACACTAACCATGAGGCTACCACACCTACCTCCTTTTTCATTTTTTCGAACAGTTTTTGGTCAGTCAAGCCAAAATAATCTTCCTATTCACATTCTGATTGAAATGTCTGGAATTTTCATGTAAATGGTAAACAACTATTAACTTTTTATTCCCAAGTGTGCTCAACATCTAATTTCCCCTTACACAGATTATGGCAGTCAGTCCCCTTGTGGGTAAACAACTCACCTTTAGGCGGTGGAACGGTATCATAACTGGTTTGCATCTGCAAACAAAACATTATTTTAAATGCATTTAATAATAACATGGTGTGAATAGCCTCTCTAATTCCTCAAGATCAAACAACACTGCTCAGTTGTGGGGGTGCTGTTGTAAAATCTTGCAGAGACTGTTCTCTGTAAAAGAACTTCACCAATAATGAAATGGATACATGTATATATATATAAGATGCTTGAAATATGGTGCTCTATTGTACAAGCTATAACAATGAAATTTTATTTCTTTCCAGTTGAATATCACACAAAGAATGACATCAACACTGCTAGCTGTCTCTTTACTGGCCACCTTCTCTTCACTATAAGATTGTCACTAAATCAAATAGGGTAATTTTCAGATTCAAAGGGTAGGCTGAGTTCTTTGACTTGTGTAACTCACCAAAGATTCCTGTTTTGTTCTCAGAACTGGAACCGAATCATATGTGCCAGATCTCCGAAGCAGGTCAGAGTCAAAAACTGTTAATGAAGAAATTAGCAAACGAATGAGAACTTCAAACTTTAATGGTCATTATGATGCAGCTTTAGAGTGACTAGACAGGGTGTAGTGACTTTTGTTGATTGTTGCTGGTTTCGAATTTCTACACAAATAACAGCTAATCTAGGATACAGCTAAAACCTTTGCGAGGAGAAATCTTCTTTCAATGATTGCCCTCTTTGTGATAAGTACTTTCCTCTGTATGTGTTTTTGACACTCACACCAACTAAAGTAGTTTAACTAAATTGATCAGGTTTAGGTTTTTTTGTCCCTTTGCGGTCATTTCGAGAAGACAAATTTCAAACCACCTTGCTAACATACAGTATTTATTCAAACAGATTTTTACCTGGTTACGTTGTGGGGTGTGCATGGTAAGGGCAAATAATTTTTAACCTTGTCTAGTTTAACCACTTTTAAACATGTTCTTCAAACAAAAGCCTCCCTTTCATTTTAGACATTTCAGTACTTATATCAAAAAGAAACATCAAAGCAGGGCTTTCATTAAGGGCCAGGCACCAGACAAATTGACTGGCCGTGAGGACAAGTTTGCCCAGCTGGTTTGACCATCGGGCGGAAAGTTTTTCTTACAACTTTAGAAGTTCAGTTCTAAAATAGTTTTGCCCTCGTGTGAAAACCACATGTCCTCCTGCTGAAAACGTTTTAATGAAACCCCCGATCAAAGTGCCCTCTCCCAGCTAATCACTAAAGGCAACGAAAGGATGGCAATTGGTCCTTCAAAAACCATATGGGTCTCACAAAAATTTCGGAGAATTTTGTAGGTCTCCCAGTCTTTTTTTAATGCTTATGTGCTTCTCACAATCTCAATTTTTTTAACAAAGCTGTCTCGGAGTCTCAGTTTGTTTGCAAGGCTAACGAAGCTTCAAAGTCCAATTTGTTTGTATGTTTTAATTTTACACATGACATCTGAATGTCTTGGGGTGTGAACATCTCAAGCTTGCATTTAAAACACTTTGAAGTCTCAGTCTTGCAATTTCAAAAGTCAAAATGTCTTGAGCTCACATAAAGAAACGCTAGTCTCATCATCTTGCCAAGTCTCGCATTCACCATTCACCACCTCTAAATGACCACCCTCCCTCGTTAAAAGGGGGACAAACCTTGTCGATTTGGTACATTTTCATAACTCAGTGTCCTTGTGTACATTGCTGATTTAGGTCGATCTGAAAATCCCTAAAATGGAAAGATACAAGATGGCCAAGTTACGTTCAGGTTCTTTTGATTGTTAGTAGACATACATGGAATACAAAAAAATACACAATACAGTAAAACTAAATCGAGTTTGACTCACAGGGAAAGTGTTTGATGTCCTAGAAGTCCTTGTATTCGGTCTGAATTCTATTGAAAACAACAAGAAGTATTATTTATACATGTAAGCCAAAAGGGTTACCACGTTTTAAGTAATGTAACATACAACTTGCATCAAACACAAGAGACATGTTCTATTTAGATTTTCAAATTCCATGAAGAGAGCTGAAAATAAGTTATGTACATAGTAGGGTATTTTTTTTCAAGAAATTGATGGTGTTTGGTATTATTTTTATTAAACACTGTGTCAAGTATTTGATAGAGTTTGATACTATTTCCTCCAAAAAAAACAAACAAATACGCTACATCATTTATCAGTTTGAGAAACCTGTCACAAGATACAACAGGAGTTTAAAAACTGAGAGAAAACGATATGTTTTAATAATATCAAGTGGTCACAACCTCAGAACCAGAGTGTTTGGAGAGAAAAGATACTGTTTCAAACTTGATGGAGATGATGCTAACCAAATTGGCAGTGACGCAAGCTCCTCGGACAAATTACCGAGTTCTCTCACAAGACAAACCCATGAACTTACATCACTAGGACGCTTTAAAACAAAGCTATAGAAGATCTGGGTTACTAAGCCACATATAATTTGGTTCAAGTGTATAACAAACACAGTGTCACTTCAAAACTGAATGTAGCAGCTTTCAGTTGTGAGAATAGTTTCCTATGTTTCTTATGCATAAACATGTTTTGCTCATTGTCAACATCATCTTGAAGGTGACTCTTGCAAATAACAACAACATACTAAAAACTAAACGAGCTGAGTAGTTACAAGAATTATTACGCTTTAAATCAGTTGTAGGAAAAATAAAGAAAAGAAGAGGTAGAAAGAGAAAAAAAATATATAGATACAAATATAAAAAGAAATATAAGTAGTAACAGTACCAGCTCTAGACAGAGCATTGTTTAATAAAGAGCGATAGCAAATGACGTAATGATGCAAAAGGTGAATTACACTCACCAGTACATTGTCGTTTTAAGCTAGATACTGGTTCTTTGAGACTGCACGCTGGTTAGCAACAATTATAAGAAAATTAATGATTCAGTAATTATTATTCATTAGCCAAAGTAATCATCACAAAGTTCAGAATGCGATTAACTATTAACAAATAAATTAAAACAACAGGGTGTTAGTCACAGTACATAGACAAATGTTAATGGAACATAATTAACTCCCGTTACAAATTAATTACTTACAATTAATTTATTTATTTCACAAGTTAGATTCACAATTATAGAAATGTTAAGCTTCCAGCTATGTTTATTCATGATCATGCATCGTTCATCGCTGTCTAGTGTATGTTTCTTGTTACAAAANTATATATATATAAGATGCTTGAAATATGGTGCTCTATTGTACAAGCTATAACAATGAAATTTTATTTCTTTCCAGTTGAATATCACACAAAGAATGACATCAACACTGCTAGCTGTCTCTTTACTGGCCACCTTCTCTTCACTATAAGATTGTCACTAAATCAAATAGGGTAATTTTCAGATTCAAAGGGTAGGCTGAGTTCTTTGACTTGTGTAACTCACCAAAGATTCCTGTTTTGTTCTCAGAACTGGAACCGAATCATATGTGCCAGATCTCCGAAGCAGGTCAGAGTCAAAAACTGTTAATGAAGAAATTAGCAAACGAATGAGAACTTTGAACTTTAATGGTCATTATGATGCAGCTTTAGAGTGACTAGACAGGGTGTAGTGACTTTTGTTGATTGTTGCTGGTTTCGAATTTCTACACAAATAACAGCTAATCTAGGATACAGCTAAAACCTTTGCGAGGAGAAATCTTCTTTCAATGATTGCCCTCTTTGTGATAAGTACTTTCCTCTGTATGTGTTTTTGACACTCACACCAACTAAAGTAGTTTAACTAAATCAATCAGGTTTAGGTTTTTTTGTCCCTTTGCGGTCATTTTGAGAAGACAAATTTCAAACCACCTTGCTAACATACAGTATTTATTCAATTAGATTTTTACCTGGTTACGTTGTGGGGTGTGCATGGTAAGGGCAAATAATTTTTAACCTTGTCTAGTTTAACCACTTTTAAACATGTTCTTCAAACAAAAGCCTCCCTTTCATTTTAGACATTTCAGTACTTATATCAAAAAGAAACATCAAAGCAGGGCTTTCATTAAGGGCCAGGCACCAGACAAATTGACTGGCCGTGAGGACAAGTTTGCCCAGCTGGTTTGACCATCGGGCGGAAAGTTTTTCTTACAACTTTAGAAGTTCAGTTCTAAAATAGTTTTGCCCTCGTGTGAAAACCACATGTCCTCCTGCTGAAAACGTTTTAATGAAACCCCCGATCAAAGTGCCCTCTCCCAGCTAATCACTAAAGGCAACGAAAGGATGGCAATTGGTCCTTCAAAAACCATATGGGTCTCACAAAAATTTCGGAGAATTTTGTAGG